TAGATTGTGCTCTTCAGTTTTAATCACGGACCCCTCAAGCTTAGTCGAAGCTGCTTCACATGAGAGTCTCGTGGTTCTGCGCGCCATTTGCATCGACACGCGTGTAGCACTCTTCGCGAGTTTACAGATCAACATCAATCTCTCACAATTAGCACAAGTGTCGCTTTGCAGCATTTGCGCTGTTGCGTTGCCTCAATGCGTGTTCTGATAGGTCGAACTTTCCAGTGCTTCGCAATGGCCCAAGAAACTGCAAAGCTACTTGACATGATACTTGTGATGCCATTCTCGATCCGTGTGTAGCATCAGTTCCTTGTATGTTCTTGTTCCCTTCGTGCGAAGACGGAAACTTTCTTGTAACACCAGTGGAATAGCTCGCTCGGGACTGATAGGACTATCCGTCAACGAGGCTGCGGCTATGCGAAGGCCGAGAGCGACCTGAGCTATACCAAGCGAGGAACGAGTCATAGAGCGGTTGTGCTGCCCCATGACATCGACAACATGCTTTCGCCTTCGGGTTACGGAGTACGTGTACTAATCTCAGCCATCAGCTACGATTGGAGCAACGTCGCCAGTTTGTTGCTACGAAATGCTGTATAAGATACATTGACAATCGGCGTCCATGACACAACCCTAAATATTGAGTCGTTGGTGCCAGTCGAAAGGCCTGTGCAGAAGATCGCATTGTCAGCATTTGTCGATATATCGTCTTACATTTCACGAATTGGAATCACGGCAAAGTTGCTGCACCAGTTGTCACATAACGAACAGCCACAGTGCCCAGTTTCGCCTTATGTACACCGGTATCTGGAACTTCATTACGATTAATTGCAAACATTTCGTACCCGGGTAGTAATAAAATACGACCGCACGATATTGCTACAGTATCCGGATATAAAATGCTTAATCGCGCATACGTTTCCCGGGCAACATGTCTCCAATGTTTACAGAACAGCATATACCAATTCTTTTACATTGGCAATTTGGACGTTATCCATGCACCTGCTTATCGAACCTTCGCAAGGTCATTTGTGGACGGACAAATGAAAAGAATAGCATGACCATTAATGCATGTTTTGCTTCATGACCATACAGTACGTTGCGGCCCGCATCACCCCAGCAGAAGTCGTCAGTGAGTCGTTGTAGCGCAAATATAGAAGACAGGATAGATTTGAAATGACAGGTTCTGTATTGTAGGGCTCACGAACACCCTATGCCTGAACTGGGTCGAGATAAGGTAGAAGGCGACTTGATCTTGGCTTTGTTGGTGCTCTAGATTTGCAAGCTGATAAAGTATTACGTGCGAAGCTGTATATTTTCAAATAAACCACTTTAACGCAGACGCAGACTGATCTTGTGTAGAGGCTAGTTGTGATAACTAACGTCACACTGAAAGTCGACCAGTAGACTATGACGAATACAGTCCTCGTCACTAGCAGATGCATTCTCCCGACACCGCTGTACGAAACGATAACGCATCTGTAGCGTTTACTTCGCCGCCTCCTTTTCGTAAACACAGCACAATAAGGCGATACCTTGTATAAAGACAGAAATTGGAATTGAATACGGGGAACGACTCAGATTCCTTTGACTCCCCTGCTTCAAAGGACTCGCAGTTGTGAGAGTGACAGTCACTTATCACTCGTCTTTGCGTGCGCGGATTGCGCGCGTGCTTGCTAGCTGTCGATCCTTCAAACGCAAGGAATACATGACTCGACATGATCGAGTATTTTAGTATTATAAGTCACCGCCGATGCTCGAGGTTGGCAACTTGTCGCACAACGGTGTCATTCGGGCAGCGTCTACTATCCATGCGGTATTCTGTGTAATTTATGGACACAAGTCGATGAGCCGCTCGATCGAGTGCGCGCGCAATGATCGACGACTGCATTTCAGCCATGTGACAAGGTATGTAGAGCATCGAACATGTCCGAGTCTTCAACACTACTTGGAGGCATTCTCTATGCCACATCATTCTCTTCTGATCTCTTCTGATCGACGTTATATATGAACCGAGACCCCACCGTCTGCACTTGCTATCATAAAAGTACAACGGTTTGCCCAAATTTGCGGTATTGCAACTATTTCTCGTAGATAGAGCTACAACTACCGATGAAAATGCCGTGCTTTTACAAACATTATACAACCTACGTCGTCATGACCGCCGTCACCCGTTTTCACTAGAGCATAAGTCATTGCCATCGAATGTGTACGAGATGACACACACGTCGAGATGCAGGGTACAAAAAAACGAATGAGGTCAGTTCCAAACACCGCCCAACTGGTTTGGGCTGTGCCTCATGCCACCAGCTCATCCTGACGTTGATGCAACCTGAGGACTCGTCAAGACACTAGTCATACCTTCCTACTTACTCGTTGCTTTACTTGCAGCAAACCTCGGCATTAACGCTTCAGCACCACCAGTGCGAGTCATTCATCTGTGGTCAAACTGGCCGTCCAGGTGGCGATTGCGGTGAATCTACATGCTAGGTCAAAAATGCCTCCAATGTAACCACGCACATGGTTCATAAATAAAGGACCGACCTTTTCGATCACGTCAGGCTTCTGATGTGCACGTGGTTTCTCGCTGGTTAACCCCATTGGATACCCAAACTACGTGCTTGAAGTACGGCAAGCGTAGTTGATACTGATGCGAGATGAAAAACCCAAGACGAGTTCATTACGACTTTGACGGAAGTTTGACGCACCGGACGATAATTCTGCAAACCATCCAAGGATTCGGCCGTTGCGAAGTACCCAAGCGATGGCTAGAGCCGGTAATTCGGTACGCACGAATACACATGTACGAGATGCAACATCACTGACCAAAAGCGCACGTAGCGATACTCGACAGGCCTTATGGTCAACAAGGAACTGAGAGGTTTCTCGAAAACAGTCTCTGATATCACACATTGGGCGACAAACGCTGCAAGATGGTGATGATACGGCGGCGTTTTGACCAGCTTTCACGCCTCATAGAACACTTTTTCGTGTCGAGATGTTCCACAAGGCGCAGAAAGCGTAAATTGCTGTTTCCGTCTTCGTGTGACGAGGCCAACATTTTGTGCTGGAAAGGAACGAAAGAGGTTTGATCAGCCGTGGAAAGCTATGCAAGTAGCGAACTCGCCTCTCTCAGTCTTATTAGTGCCGTAGACTTTTTCTCACACGTCTCAGAAAGTCACAGCCTTGTATGTGGTGGACTGCCTTGCATCAGTTTATAAAACAGTGCAGTCTCTTTCGTAATACTCTGCCTCAACAAGGAAAACATGAAGGCCAGAAGATAACGTCTAGGCGCTTGAAGTCCTTGACAGATCTTTGGTGTACGCCAGCTTCCAATCGTCTTCGCTTCAGGACGTACCGCCACCACCACCACCACCACCTTTATTCATGAGTTCTACCCACGACCGAGAACCTCGATCTCGGAAAAGACGGCTATTTCGAGCCTAAACACTTTTGCAAAAAGCGCCTCAAGCCAATGCAGAAACGCGAGACCGTTCAGATTCCTGTCGCGAATGCGTACGTACAATGAACCTTTCTTGTCCATCTGCAATGGCGATAAAGCTCTCTGTCGATGTTGACGCAATGCCACCATTATCGGGGACAGCTTTTAGTTACAGGTATACTCACGATGTTGCGCGGCTGTCCAGTCCACTCTACGCAAGTCAACTCGGACAGAGGTACACGACATCCAGCACCTGACGAGCTACACCACCCGAGCACACGTGTCCCACAGTACCTGTTACGAAGCGCAGTGAGCCGCATTGGAAGACGCAATCGCATCCATCGTGATGTGAGTGGGCTCCCTGACCACATCAACAAAGTAGTCTACCTACAGGATACAGGACTTCCTTGACCTGTACTTCCAATGCATCGGAGACATGTATCTGCTCAAGCAGAATCCAGGTGAACACGTGTTTCACGTGGTAAGATCTCTGGGTTTGCGTCGCGCGTTCAAGATCCTAGGCTGCAAGACGAAAGGAAGCGCCAGGATGCATCGACATGTCAGCATTGTGCAGGCATAAAATAAGTGTCCGCGGCGGAGTGAGCCTATTGATTCTGGCGAACGTAGTCGATCATGTATCCCTGTCGTCTATTGTTTGGCAGCGAGCCTTCTACTTGGGTGCAAATTCGGCCGGTGCTTTACCTCACCAGGTGCAACATCAACTCCGATAGCATCAGGCTAAGATGCACGTCGTCCGTGAAGACTGCAGCTGACATCTTCTGTACTGGCCGATTGTTATATAGCTACATACGATGAGCGCTCTTCTCATTGCGTCAAAGCATCGGGACCATTCTCGTCGGGTCTTCGCTGCGAGATCGCAACTTTGTCCCGAGCGAGCGGTACCGCACAGACACCATCGAGTGTGCGGACTCTCATGCAACGAGAGAAAGAAAATAGTCAGCGGCGACTACGCAGGTCGCTGGAAATGGTGTTGGTAGATAGATGCAGCGTATCGCGGGTCTAGACACCCAGGAATACTACGCATATCGATAGAGTTCAAACGTGCGTGCGATACTCCAACGTCATTGCTCCTGCAGAATTACATCGAGGCCATCATTCGCTCTGGAACGAGATGTCTCCTCTATCGTTACGGGCCCGACTTGATCACGGCACTTATGTTTGTGCCCCACAGAATCCCATATCTGACTTATGAAAACGGAGCATGTGCTGATACGTCACCTCCGTCAGTCAAAACGACGAGGGGAAAGAAAAACGTGGAGAAACCCGCGTGCGCACGTCTTTGCTGCGTGTGTCGGCGCTCTGCGATCGTCGGAAAATAGATGAGGCAAACATCTATTTGAGATTGCGACGCGTGGATTCTCTATCTTAGGTGTATACCGCGAGTACGCTCACACTCACGCTCGAGTACAGTGCTGTATTTGAAAGCAATGTTTCGTCGTCAAGGAAGTAAAATAAACGTCACCACGGACGATTCACTCGCCGTAGCTTCTCTTCGTGTCTGTCAAAACTAATACATCTCAGCCGCCGTGCACCAGTCCTAATGACCTTCGCGCCATCATTCTACGAGGTGCTCAGCGTCCCGACGACCTGCAGCTCCGATGACGTTCGCCGCGCGTACCACCAGATGGCTCGACGGTTCCATCCGGACAAGCGCTCGACCGCCACCGACGCTGCCGTCACGAGCGAGCAGCACTTCCTGCGCGTACAGGCCGCCTACGAGACGCTGCGGCACCCGGAGCTGAGGCGGCAGTACGACGCCAAGTTACAGCAGCACACGCGAAGGCGCAAGAGGCAGCAGGAGGTCGTCGTCGTGTCGGACGACGTTCCGCTCAGCGCTATGCATCGCGTCCAGCTGCAAGACGGAGACCACGACGGCGACAACGACGTGGTGTACACACACGAGTGCCGCTGTGGAGACGTGTACGAGGTCTCTGAACACGAGCTCTGGGACGGCGTAGATGTTGTGCCGTGCGCTGGCTGCTCGTTGCACGTTCGGGTGCTGGTGGACACTGCCCAGTAGTCGTGGACGACGACGACATGGACCTTAAGGCACAAGCAGGTGAATCTCAACGCTCATCCATCCATCCAATCATTCATTCATTCATCCATCCATTTACCACCCCGTCATCCATCCAGTCATTCGCTCATCCAGTCATCCATTGCATGTATGCATCACACATTCCTCGAGGCAATGTGCGTCTTTTTGCTGCACTCGCGCCCTCCATGTACTGCAGACCTTAGAACTCCTTGCCACGCGGCGCCCCTTGCGATGGAAATCGTTGCGGCGTCTGGATCTGATGCAAGACACTGAGGCCGACGTACGCGAGGAACAGGAAGAGGAGTCCAAAGAGGAGACCCGCCATAATGTCGGGCGTGATGTTAACGTAGTGCGAAAAGCAGAACGCTTTGCCGGCTGCGCTGTACCCGACGAGGTAGTTTGCTTCACAGACGATGTCGGCCAGCGTGTCGCTCGACTTGGGCGTGGGTTTGACCTTGGCTTGAACAGCAAGACGTCGAGCGACTGTGTCCTCGACCTCCACCACTGCGACGTCGTTGCCAGTCAACGCAAAGTCCGTCATGCCGTTCGAGGCTGCCAAAAGTGTCGCCGACGCTGTCGCAATGGCGTCGTCCACGTCCGATAGCGCCACCTCGGCTGGAAACTGCACAACGAGGAGGTCCGTCTTGCCGTTCGAAACCAGCGCCTGCCCCTCACTAGATGCAAGAAAAGTAGCCAGCCCCTCCACGTCTACCAAGTGCGGCTGGACAGCCTGAAGCTCGGGCAGAAGAGGCGTCGAGCGCGTCGTTTGCGGGACTACGACCGACGATGCGGAGCGCTGGACGGCGTGCTGCACAAAGGCACTCGTGCTTTTGGAGAGCTGAGCCACGTTTTCCAGCGTCAGAGTCGGCACGAGGTACAGACACACGACTTCGGACGGCGGAGCTGCAGGTGGCAGAGTGCTGAAAACGCCCTACAACATGGAAACGGAGCGAGCAGAGGCACGTTACAGTCAGTAGGTGGATCGCCTGGATACCGGATACCCCGTTGCTTTCGTGCACACCTCGTTGTCGCTGCTCATTGGATCGTGCAGTACCGTGACCTTTAGAATTGATGCCACGGCCGTTTCGTCGAGTTCGGAGCTGAAGTAGGCGTTAGCGCTCGCAAATATTCTGCCCCCGACGATGCAACCACACATTGATTAAAACACATAGAAAACGAGTAAAAAACACACATAAAGATCAGTGAGCACTGTTGCTCGTGGCCGCGGCAAGAAAGCGACAAGAGCACGACAAGAGCACGAACGGGCGGTTGGACCACATCACGAGCGGCACGTGGGGATACAGCGTCGTCGATGCCGACGCGAGCGACGCCGCAGCGACCAGAACCACGGCGAGAGCCACGCGCCAGCTCGTCTTCATGTTGTGTTTGTTACTTCACGACGCGAGAATCAAACCAATCTTTTGTGTCGGGTTGTTGGGCTTGGCGCGCCAGCGACCCACCCGCTCGACGGTCGCTCGAAGGTCGCCCCAAGGCCCCCGTCCGGCCGTCCCCTCGCGCTTCGTGGCCGAGTCATTCCACGAACCCGCAGGTGCGCCCCCAGTCCCTCTGCTCCCTGAACAGCTCTTCGCGTACCCGTCGCACGTGCCCCTCTCGCCCCACATCCGCTGCGCTGACCACTCACTTCTCTCTCTCTCTGTCTCTCTCTCTCTGTCTCTCTCTTTGTCTCTCTCTCTCTGTCTCTCTCTCTCTGTCTCTCTCTCTCTGTCTCTCTCTTTGTCTCTCTTTGTCTCTCTCTCTGTCTCTCTCTGTCTCTCTGTGTGTGTGTGTGTCGCTTGCTTTGTGTTGACACAGTCTCCCGCCGCCCCCGCTAAGAGCCCTTTTGTCCGTCTCGCACGATGTCGTCCATCCTCGCGTCGCTCGACATGAGTCTCGACGACCTCATTGCGCGCAAGAAGACCAGAGCCAGCAGCAGTAACCCGGCGGCGCGTCCTGCGAAGCCGCACAGGGACCAGGAGGCGCCTGGCCCCGTGCGCGGGGGGCGTCGGCGCGCGGCGAGTCGGAAGGCGCAGCCCTACGCACGACCTGTAAGTGCTGCTCCGCTCTCTGCTGAAGCGGTTGCTCTGCATCTGTCCCCCTCCTCCTCCTCCTGCTGCTGCTCCGCTTTGCGCGGTGGACGTTTGCACTCGCGTTGCTCGTCTGCTGTCCGATAAGCTGACAGAGAGCTGGTAGACGCACTTGCCGCTGGATCGGTCGGCCTCTGCTGGAAAGGGCTGTGGTGGCTGCTGGCGAGAGGAGAGAGCAGGCCGTTGCTACTTGGTGCCAACATTGACACGTGTCGTGCTGCTGCTTCTGCTTCTGCTTGTGCTCGTTCTGCTGCTTCTTCGTTGCTGTCGTGAAGCGCGGCGGAAACGACGACATGGACATGGACGTGGACGACGCTGCTGCTGACAGCGGCAACGGTGGCCGTGGGGGCAAGAAACGCTCTGTGGTCATCAAGAAGCTCGGCGCTGGAGGCAAGAAAGGTGCGTGGAACAGCCTTTGTTGCTATGGGCCGTTGCAGGATGGCGTATTGATGTTGCGATGTTGGCGGCTGTTGTTGTGGATGTCATGTAGGCGGTGGCGTGTCCATTCTATCGCGTCTCGGTAGCAAGGACCCGAGCAGCTCCGGCACGAAGATCCTGGTCAAGAACCTAAAGTTTGACATTCTGGAGGAAGAAGTGCGCGAGCTCTTTGGCACAGTGGGCGAAGTGTCGAAGGCAGAGATTGTGTACGATCGCTCTGGTCGATCGAAAGGCATTGCTCGTGTCTGGTTCAGCCGTCGATCGGATGCGGACAAGGCAATCAAGCAATACGACGGTACGATCGGGCTAGAGTATCAGATTTATCGACATTGTTAACCTTGCGCGGTGTGACACCCTCCGTAGGACGCACGCTGGACGGCCAGCCAATGCAGATTACATTGGACTCTGACAGGAACGTCCGCAACGGACTGTTTGGAACGGCACTGAAGCGTGACGACAAGGACGTGAAGTTCAAGGTGTCGTTCGGGTAAGCTGATGCCCCGAGCTCGTCGCATCGAGAGATCGTCGTGGAAACAGTGTTTGACATCAGCTTTTGTACATTCGGTAGAGGAAACCGAGACACCGAGCAGCCCAACGGCCGCCGAAACCGACGTCGTGGGCGCGGTAACGAGAAGAGCAGTCAGGGGTATGGTAGCTCGTGGGCCTGCTGCTGTATCGTGTCGTATTCTCAACTAAACTGTTTGTTGTGCAGCGACCGCGAGTCCGCCCCGTCCAAGACCACTGAAGAGCTTGACAATGAGATGGACACGTACATGAATGACGCATAAAGAGAAGGCCGTGGAACTGGTGTAAAAAGGACGCTTGGTGCTTGCCGGGTAACAAATCGTGCTCAAGAACGTTATCCTGGCGATTACGCGTAGTTGTGTTGCATTTCATGGACGCGCGTGGCGAGTGGGTGTTTGGATTTGCCTTCGATATGCTGTCGCGTCGACTTGACAGGCGCCTCATCGTGACACGCGCGTCCGAGTTTGAATAAAGCATTTCGATGTGGCTGGAATCGGGTTTCAAGTGAAGGGCGTGTTATGTCACGAATCCGTAAATACGCCGATCTGGTTGGAGTGTCTTTTTGCGCGGGCGCCATCTGGACGATGAGGTCCATAGGGGCACTGACGTGGCTCAAGACCGGCAGCCTTGACAGTGGAATGTCGTAATGTACATTGTGCCCCGTGTCATGCAGTGTGCCACTCAACATGTCGCCTCTGACCCTTGTTCGTGTGTCGTGCTTGATTGTGGACATGCCATGAGCAGGAGGGTCGACGAGCCACGTTGCCAGCTATTTCGCTCACGAGGTCACTGCACTTTGCCGTCGCCGTACTCGATTCTTTCCACGAATCTGTCAGGCATCTCAGCGCGCAGCGCTGACTGCGACATTCGGCGGACTGTTGTTACCCACGTGATCATTGCTGCCGGCAACGATTGGTATCGTGAGTCAATCAGTTGGCGGCTACAGCAAAGACGACGCGTTGACCCGTCCATCGCCTAGTGATCAGGTGGCCGCTACAATTGACTGGAGGCAGCTTCGAGTTAGAATTCACCAGTGAACGAGTGTGTATCGTGCAAGTCGGGAGAGTCCTTTGCATGGCTCAAACAGCACCGGTAGGATGATGCAGATGCGATAGCCAGCGAACAGAAGACACAGCCAGACGCTGCGATCCTCGTGATGTGCGAGCCCGTCTTCCTTTCCACTCGTTGCGGCGAATCACGTGCCACGTCGGACTGCGTATTACTGTCAAAGCAGTCCCGAGCGTGCATACGTTTGTACGACGAGGTGTGCGACCACTGTAACGTGTGGGCATCACGGCGTAATGTGCTCCGTCCGCGCTATTGTCCTCGATCAAGACACAACCTTCGGTCAGGAATCGAGCTCAGCGTCCATATGCCTCGTCCGACGGCAGCTAAGCTTTGAGTTTAGACATCTAAGTTGGAGCCAGAAAACGCATTACAACTGTGTAAATGCATTCTCTTCGACAGCGGCTACGGCTGGTTCGTTGCATGTGGGATAGAGACAGTAGTAGGATGCACAAGAAGCCGTTGTCGGTGCTGATGCGATGTGGGACCTACTCGAACGACAAGTTATGTGTATTTGGGTGCTGTGTGCGCTGCGGCTATCGATTGAGAGGTCGAGAGAACTCTACAAGTGGCCCGATGACTTTCTTGCAAAAGATTGCGCGGGGCGCAGGCTTCGAATCGTTAGTGAAAAGTTAAGGTATATTCAGGCACATGAGCGACCCGCCATGTCGTGAGAGCGAGGAGTTAATGTGTCTATTCAGGTACACGAGCGACCCGCTATGTCGTGCGAGCAGGCATCATGTCGAACGTTGGTCGTTTCTCTCTGCGTGGACCTTTCTGGCACAGGTGCGAGCTTTTTTCCCATTGCTGCATTATTCCCTGGTTGACACGTTCGTTCCAAGCATCGTCAAATTGGTACTCACTTCCTGCCTTCCATAAGTCTTTACGTACCGGCCATTTGATTGCCGCTTCGATACCTCCGACGATCAGTCAGTCAGTCCACTCACTCACTCACTCACTCACTGTCCAGACCAAACGGGGGCTCCTTCGTACTGCCGGGACCCCTGCTACCTACGAGCAGACGCCTGGACAGCTATAATCTGCTGAAGCCTCTCACGTCTCCCAGCAGTGCGCATGCTCTCCAATAGAGTGCATCAAAAAGATTCGGACTTCCGTGGCTCCCTGACTTCGTCATAAACGGATGTACACTAGACCACGAGGTCACTCCAATGGATCACCACACCTATAACACCTACATATGCTTACTGACGACCGATGATCCTCCAGGTAAAGAAGCATCGTATCCGACTTTATTGAACACTCCCCTTAGTAATCTCAGCGTCGGTTTCCTGTCTGTAGTTGTGGGTGCTTTTGATTCGCTGAAGTCGGAAACCTCCTTCTGTGTGCCGCTGCTGCAGTGCGCTTTTTTCGCCGCACGTCGAAAGTCACGTGACACAATATACGCCCATGCGATACAGCGATCGAGTAAGCCCAACCTCCGCGAGGTTCTCGCACCCTGCCATCCACGGCATCCATCCATCACGTATCGGAGGGAGAAACAACAAAAAAGACCCCGTTTTTTTGTCATCGAGGCAGGCAGGCGTACGTACTGTCGTCTACCTTCTCAGATCCTCTGACAAAAGCGGAGGGGATTTCGAGCACCGGCTGCGGCACCAAAGCAGCCGGTGCTCGAAATCCCCTCCGCTTTTGTCACTGTTGTGGCTCTCGGGGCCCCACAGCGCGTCGACGCACGCGAGCCATTGATCAAGAGCCGCCTCAGCCACTCGCGTCGTCGCCTCGCAATGGCACCCGCGCGAAAGGGAAAGAAGGGCGCGACAAAGCCGTCGACGACCGCCGACTTGGACGATCTGCTGAGTGAGTTCGCGCCGCCGCAAGCGGATGACGGCGCGACGAAGGAGCAGCAGCAGCAGCAACAGCAGCAGCAAAAGGAGCAGCAGCAACAGGACGCGAAGAAGGCAATGGACGTGGACGCCGCTGCTGCTGCGTACTTGGCGTCACTGGGCGTAGCGCCTGTCGCTGGCCACGAGAAGAAGGACGAGCTGAAGAAGAAGAAGAAGAAGGGCAAGAAGAAGCCCACGGGCGACGTGAAGAAGGACGACGAGAAGAAGCCCATGTCGGCGGCTGCGAAGGTGCTGATGGAGCGGCAGGCGGCGCTGAGGGCCGAGCAGGAGCGCGCGGAGCAGGAACGACTGGAGCTCGAGCGCATTGCGCAGGAGGAAGAGGCCAAGCGCTTGGCCGAGATGGAGGCAGAAGAAGAGCTTCGGCGCAAGAAGAAAGAGGCGCGTGCAGCCAAGATCGAGCGGCAGAAGAAGGAAGGCACGTACATGACGAAGGCGCAGAAACAGAAAGCGGCCAAAGCGCAGGCGGCATTGGAAGCCATGCAGCAGGCCGGTCTTGTGCCGGAAGCTACTGGCGAGAAGAAAAAGGTGGTGTATGCCGACAAGAAACGGCAAAACTATGAGCGGAAGGAGACAGCCGAGAAAGCCGGGATAACCGAAGATGGTGGGGACGAGAGTGACGAAGAGGTAGAAGACAATAAGCCGGCGGCACGTGACGACGTGGAGCCGCAGATGAAGGAGAAGGAGGAGGAGAAAGAAGAAGAGGAGACTGAAGCGCCCGATGCGTGGGACGACGACGACTGGGAGACTAGCAACGTCGTGGCCTCGCTGGAAGATAAGCTCCAAGAAGTACACGAAGGAGTTGCTGCCGTAGACAGTGATGATGGCGGAGACGAGGATCTTTTGGTGCTGGAGCAAAAGAAGGAGCAAGAGCGTCTACGTCAGCAGGGCATTGCGCTGAAGAAACGCCAAGAGGAGCAGGCAGAGCAGATGCGAGCTGAGGCTGAGGAGGAGCATCAACGCTCCAAGGCCAAAATCGAGGCGGACCGTAAAAAGAAAGAGGCTGCTGATCGACGTCGCGAACGCGAGGCCGTTGCACGAGCCAACGTGTCTCTGGACAACCTGCGTTCCCCCATTTGCTGTATCATGGGTCATGTTGATACCGGTAAAACGAAGTTGCTTGACAACATTCGTAAGACCAAAGTGCAAGACGCCGAAGCCGGTGGTATCACTCAGCAAATCGGTGCTACCTTTTTTCCTGTGGAAGCTATCAAGCAGAAGACGGCTCGGCTTATTGAGACAATGAAGCTCGAGTTCCGTCTGCCCGGTTTGCTAGTGATTGACACACCTGGCCACGAGTCATTTACGAATCTGCGTAATCGTGGTTCGTCGCTATGTGACATCGCCATTTTGGTGGTTGACATAATGCACGGTTTGGAGCCTCAGACTCTGGAATCGCTACGCCTACTGCGTCAAAAGAAAGCGCCGTTTGTCGTGGCACTCAACAAAATCGACCGATGTTACGGCTGGAAGACGATGCCTGATATGCCTGTCCAGGAAGCGCTGAAGCATCAGAACGAGCACGTCATTCGTGAGTTTGAGGATCGAATGAAAGCGATTATCGTGGAGTTTGCCGAGCAGAAGTTAAATGCCGAGGTCTACTGGCGCAACAAAAACCTGGCGCACACAGTGTCGCTTATCCCTACCAGTGCCATCTCCGGCGAAGGTGTGCCGGACTTGTTGATGATGCTGACACGCTTGACGCAGGAGCGCATGGCCAAGTCTTTGGCCTTCGTCGACATCTTGCAGTGTACCGTGCTAGAAGTGAAGGTTATCGAGGGTCTCGGTACGACAATTGATACGATCCTGGTAAACGGTACACTGGAAGAAGGGTCAACCATCGTAGTGTGTACCTTGGACGGGCCCGTAGTGACAACCATCCGTTCGTTACTGACTCCACACCCAATGAAAGAGATCCGAGTCAAGGGTGAGTATATCCACCACCAAACGATAAAGGCTGCCATGGGCGTAAAAATCTGCGCGCAAGGTCTTGAAAAAGCTGTAGCCGGTACACAGATTTACGTGGTTGGCCCCGACGACGATGTTGAGGAGCTGAAGGATTCTGTAATGTCCGATCTAACGAGTATTCTGGACTCGGTGAAGGCCACCCGTCGTGGTGTGATGGTTCAAGCTTCCACTCTTGGTGCTTTGGAAGCGCTTCTGGAATTCTTACGCACATGTGATCCGCCTATTCCGGTGTCCTGTGTGAACATTGGCCCCGTATACAAGAAAGACGTGATGCGAGCTTCTGTGCAACTCGAGCACCAGCCGGAATACGCGACCATACTGGCGTTTGACGTGAAGGTTCACAACGACGCGACTGAGTTGGCTTCCGAGCTTGGCGTGCGCATTTTTACAGCTGACATCATTTACCACCTGTTTGACCAGTTTACGGCGTATATGGAAAACTTTCGGATGGCCCGTCGCGAGGAATTCGAGGAAGTTGCTGTGTTTCCTTGCGTGCTCAAGATCGTTCCCAACTGTGTTTTTAACAAGAAGGACCCAATCATTCTTGGTGTCGACGTTGAAGAGGGCATTCTCAAAGTAGGCACGCCTCTCGTAGTCCCATCCGCCGGTGGCTTCTTGGTCGGCAAGGTGGGTTCGATCGAACGCGAGCACAAAGAGGTCGACCGTGCGAAGAAGGGTGCATCGGTTGCTGTGCGGATAGACAACGAGAGCAGTGTCATGTACGGCCGTCACTTTGACCACAAGAACAAGCTAGTGTCGCGCTTGACCCGTCAGAGTATCGATGCGCTGAAAGAGAATTTTCGGGATGATCTTCAGAAAGAGGATTGGCAGCTCGTGATCAAGCTAAAGAAGGTGTTCGACATCATTTAGCGCGCGTGCTTGCTACGCGAGGTGATGCGGCTCGATCACCTGTTACGACCGGAGTAGCTTCTTACCACTGAACATGCGCATCAGCAATACTTGACTTGCGTTTGACGACATGTAGGGCCTCTTGCTGCGTACTGGTCCAGTATGAAACTTGTCCACGAGTCCTGATCGGAATGGGCAAGTGCGATTAAAGCTGCGAGCGTTACCGATCTTTGTATCAGGCGTGTGTTGTGTAATGCAGACGCTTGCATCTTGGACAACTGGTTCCTAATACGCGAGTACCGCTTTCATCATGCGTAGCTGTTGGGCATTTGTCGACCCCGCGACACTTTTTTGATGCTGTAAGTGACGCAATTTGCAATGAAGCAGCCATGCACGCATTAGAATGTAAAGCTGATCAAGTTTTGTAGACGAAATATCACCAGAAAAAACTTGCCACGCGACGGCTGCATTGTCCATGACATAGCAAGACACATGATAGTTGCGATTAGTCCACTTCCTCTGACGGACGATAAATCAGACGAGGTCCATCCTGTGCGTTTCGGATTGTTTATAGTGGAATGGTTCATTGCTAGGGCTCGTAAGATGTAACGGGGCAGCCCGTTACATGGAATTGTCACTTTAAGGAAAGTGACAATAAAGAATATGAGGTTAAATATTCTTTGAACAATATCACCGAAGTGGTGATATTGAAGGGTCGACCAAAGAGTCTGTTCATTGGTTGATATCTTGATGATATCAACCCACCAATCGCCGCAAGACGCGCGCAATGAGTGGTGACGAGACGTCACCATACACTCAGTTATATTAGCATAATTAAGTTAAGTCAAACAGAGAGGCAGTAGTTAAAAGACTTAATTATATTAATATAATAGTTTTTACTTTTTCCTTATCCTACGCTTCCTCGTTCGCCTCGTGTACGTCTGTCGGGGCACCCAAAACCCTTGCGTTAAGTTCACGCAAGGGTGTGCCCCGTTACACCTGCTAGCACTTTGTAGTCCTTTCAAGGACCACAGCATCCAACATGAACATGTTGGATGACGAAGAGACCTTTCACGCCACGCGTGAAGGGTTTACCCATTTGAGTGGAATCGAATGGGGTGCGGTAGAACGAATGAGTTCTACCGTAGGCGAGTTCGCCATTAGCGCCATGTTGGAGTCTCTAGACAGAGACCAACAACATGCCGCTTTCGCCAAGTTCATTCAACATGAACTTGTCGCCGAAAGGGAGAAAGTAGCCTTGCTTCACCAGCAAGGCTCTCAACAGGCCGAGCAGTTGAGAGAACTCGGTGCTCAACAGACAGAGCAGCTGAGACAGCAGCAATTCCATGCTGCTGTGGGCGGGACGGCACATGCGCGTCGTCCCGAGGTCATGAAGGTTGACATCTCCAAGTACAGTGGAGTCCCGGAGGACTCCCTGTTACTATGGTTTGTCGAACTCGACAGAGCCTTAAGGGCTCGTCGCGTCGAAGATGAGCAAATGACGCTCACATTCGCTTAAACACGCTTGGCAGGGCGTGTCAAAACTTGGTCCCTGGGGCTCGAGAGTAGCGACCCAAATGTGTTTAGGTCGCTAGATGACTTCAAGTCCCGGCTCAGACAAACATTTGAGCCGCCACGAGCTGAGTTCAGGGCTCGTTCTGAGCTCCTGAAACTCAAGCAGGGTAAGCGTGATGTGCACGCTAACGCTCAACATATACGATTCCTTGCGAGTAGTATAACTGCTAACCCAGTTCATGAACACACGTTGATTACGGTGTTCATGCAAGGGCTCGCAGAAGGGCCCGTCAGGAGCCACCTGTTCCGCCTTGAGCTGAATACGCTTGAAGAAGCGATATCAGCCGCGGAACAGGAAGACTTAAGCATAAGACAGGCTCATGCTAGCTCAAACTCTTACCGTCCACCGAGACGACAAGAGATCGGAGGTCCAGAACCAATGGACCTCTGCTATGTTGAGAGCGAGAGACCTCGCTCTTCAAACAACAAGCGGTTGCAAAGGTGCAATCGCTGTCAGAAGTTAGGGCACTACTCATACGAGTGTAGTGCTCCGCGCCCAGTACCAAACAGTACTGAGCGAAATGGACGACCATTTGCCAAGAAGGGCAATGGGCGTGGGTCCAGCGCTGTTGCGAAGCCGCAACAGCGAGACGGACCATCAAAAAATGGTCGGGGTCAGTAGGGGCGGAGCGCCCTACTGATCCAGCAACCTCAAGAGAATTTGCAAATCTCTTGACGAAAGTTGCTCCAGATACACAATCATTGTGTGTCTCTGCACCTGGTGATGACGGTTTGCTCATCACCTTGAAGTTGAACGCGACATATGATTTGTCGCTTCGTGCCCTAGTAGACTGTGGGGCGTCGAACAACTTTGTTCGTCGCCAGTTACTAGAGGGTCGTAGGCTCAAGTTCGTTGAGCGCGACATTCCCCTCACGAGGATGACGGTGCGCCTTGCAACAGGCGCATCGATAACCGTTGAGAAACGTGTAGTACAAATCCACCACACGTTAGAGGGCGAACAGTACGATGATGACTTCATCGTACTAGATCTGGATGACAAATTTGATGTCATCCTGGGATTGCCTTGGCTCAGAAAGTACGAGCCAAGGTTGAGCTGGCAGCATCGATCCGTGAAGATGCCTGCCGCTTGTTCACCAGATGGCCATCTGATGAACATCTTGGAGCGTCCACAAGCGTGTGGATGTACTGCGAGTGAGTGCGATTGCCTCACTTGCGGTTCGGTCGCTAGCACGACTGCACAAGATCACAGTGTAGTTGATCACTACACTGTGGAGCAAGCTCCCGGTGGCTGTACAGGAGTACAGGGTGCGCCGAAGGTCCACCACTCGAAGAAGTCGAGTGGACCGGAACGTGGATGTACGCCTAGCGGGCGACATCCTAGCAAGAGTAAACCGGTTGCCCACAAGCGGCAACACGGATATCCTAGGTCGACTGGAGAGTCGACCGTAGAGGATCGGTACCTGACTGTGGTTGCACAGCCACAGTCAGAAGACGTCGAGGGAATAAGTCTCCACGTACTTGAGGAAGGAATTCCTCAAGAGTCACTTGATGAAGGATTAGGCCTTCAGCAACCTGTGGAAAGAATCTCCCAGGAAGTAACCGAGACGTTGAACGTCTTGATTAATGACGGATCAAGCGTAGGCGCTTATACGCTTGATCTGATTGTGCCTCCGAAGTTAACTTCGCTTCGGAGATAACTCAATTTCCAACGCTAGAACCGAAACGGTTCTTGCGTGATCTCCGTAGTGGCAAAGTCAAGCAGGTCTGCATACTCGTCGCGGAGGACGAGTATGTGGCCGATACTCGGTCGGCCACATTATTTGCTGAGAACGAACGGGTTCTCAGCAGCTCATCAATGGACGAAAGTGTCCTCGATGAGAAGACTCGGATTAAGAGATATGAATCTCAATCCTGGAAGTCACTTCAGGCAAATCCTTCGTATAAGGATTTGATCGAATTCGAGGACCTGTTCCCTGAATCCGTACCTTGCGAGTTGCCTAAGGACAAAGGCACTCGACACGAGATCGAGCTCAAACCGGGCTCGAAATATTGTGTGATGAAGCAGTGGCCACTGCCTCGTGAACAAGTACTAGCGATCGACAAGTTCTTTGCCGATCGCTTAGCAGCGGGCCATGTCAGGGAATCAACTTCCCCTCACAGCTCTCCGACATTCTGTGTGCGAAAGGCCGCAGGAGGATGGCGGATAGTGCACGCGTTCAACAAGTTGAATGCTTCATCGGTACCGGCTCAGACGCCGATACCGAGGAAGGAAGTAATCATAGATGGTATGTCAAAGAGTACCATCTTTTCGTCCATGGATCTGATGGATGGATTCTATCAGATCCTCATGCGTGAACGGAACATCCCGTTCACGGCAGTGAGTTACCCCAGCGGGATGCTGTGGGAGTGGCTATTTATGCCACAGGGGCTGAGCAATGCCCCTGCAACATTCAACAGATGTGTCACAAATCTGTTGAGCCCGGTGCGAGACTTCGCACCGAGTTACTTCGACGATGTGTTCGTCCATAGCCGGGCTATGGACGGAAAGACGGACGTTGAAGTTCACAGAACTCACGTTCGTCAGGTTCTTCAACTTATGCGCAAGTATAAGTTGTACGCCAACCTCAAGAAGTATATATTCGCGGCCAGCGAAATACCACTTCTTGGGTGCATCGTGGGTAAACACGGCGTCCGCCCTGATCTCGAAAAGATCAAGGCAATCACCGGATGGCCAGTGCCAGTCGATGTCAAGAGACTAAGGAAGTCCCTTGGTCTAGCGGCGTACTTGCACAAGTACTCGCGCAACTACGCCGAGATGACTGTTCATCTTTCTTGCTTGCTCAAGAAAAATGTCAAGTGGTCATGGAACGCTGAGTGCCAGCGTTCCTTTGAGGGTAGCAAGCAAAGCTTGATGCAATCGCCGATCTTGGCGATTGCAGATCAGGACAGACCATTTCATGTGGTCTGTGACGCCAGCGATTTGCAATCGGCTGTGCGTTAATGCAGTTCGATGCAGATGGCGCGGAGCGCGTCATCTGTTATCAGTCGCGTCAGCTGTAAGCAGCTGAGCGTAATTACCCAGTGCATGACAAGGAACTTCTTGCCATGAAGTACGCACTGGCTAAGTTCCGGGTCTATCTATTGGGAGATAGACCGTTCATCGTCTATACGGACCATGTGTCATTACGAACGGCCGTAAACAGCCCACACCTGTCGCAAAGGATGGCGAGGTGGCTGTCTTTCTTCGCGGAGTATAACTTCTCCGTGGAGTACAAGCTAGGACGACTAAACGTCGTCGCTGATGCGCTCTCGCGCCGGCCCGATTTCGAGCCTACGACCCGAGTCAACAGTGAGGATAAGCCCACTGTTGCGACACTGTCAGTCAGTGTCCCGTCGTCAAGTTTACTGGACGACGTACGAAAGGCATACGCGGAAGATAAGCATTTTCTGCGATTGATGGATCATCTGGTGCATCCATCCAGTA